ATTTCATCATTCTAGTTCTTCGGTCTTCATTTGGACTTCTGCTTCACATCCAATTGCCTGTTATTTCTCTCTCTGCAATTCAATTCAATATTCAGTCAAGAAAATTTCCAGAAATTGTTTAAAATGTAGAGAAATCGCCAAAAATATGCATAATTTCCGATTTCTAAGGGCCTTTTTTTTGGCTCGTCGTGGGCATTTGAATCCTGAGGACAGGCCCTGATGAAACCTTTAATTAATTAAAACAATAAAGCCTTAGACATTACCAAATCTCTAGAATTAAAGCAGTTAATTCAGTCTTGACTTGTATTTAAATTTTGTATGAATTCCATTTGGAACTCAGAGTATAAACAAATCAATGACTTAGGTGTATTTAAATCTTGCTTAACCCTTTTGAGAAATTAAATATTTATTTATTTATTTTTTCTATTTATCCTCCTATTATTTTAAGATGATAAATGTAATAAAAATTTATTAATTTTATTAAATGTAACAAATATCACAATTTTAAATATATAAAAAATAACAAAAAAAAAAAAAGATATTTGATTTCTCACCCTTTAGATAGGTATAGGGTGGCCAGCTCAATGACCATCTTCTTTTATTTATTAGAACATTATTTTTCTTTTATTTTTTTCACCCTTCATAATGATCATTCTTATCGCTTGTCAAAATTGAAACAAAATTACATATATGGTCTATGTGGTTTATCAAAAATCATAGTCTTTGCTATTTTTCATACGAATGGTCCTCGTGATTTCTAAATCTTGCATTCTTAATCCTCATGGTTTCATTTTGTTACAAATTTGATATGAAATTACTATTATACCATTTTTAAATTCATTTCCTTTTTTAATGTAATATACTTAAAAAAAAAAAGAACAAGAATAAAATAAACAAACACACCCACCACACCCCAATCGAAATCTTTCCCATCTCTCATCGTTAACTCTACCACCGAATCTATAAATCAAACCATCGAAAAAGCCACACAGACACCGATGGTTATCAAATCAGTCAATTTCAACATCTACGTGGAGATCATTAGGCTTTTAAAAGAGGGAGATACTTACTTGCGAAGATCGGGAAAACCCTAATCGGTGGTAAAAGGGTTAACAAGGCGGTATGTGGTAGAATGTTATCCTACCCGACGTACTCTATCGACCATGTCGAAAAGTATACCCATGGGTAATTGAGTATAGAGGTACTTGAGGGTGGTTGGGTTCATATTAATCACCTAACAAACGATGATGTCGAGACTATAAAGAATATCAGGATTGTTTTGCTTCTGAGGGAAATTCCTGATTCAATCAAGATTTAAGTTGAAAAACTGATAGATTCTTAATTCAAAATTCAAGAAAATATGTCGAATTATCATTTAACATTTATAATATGCTTTATGATTACATGCTGCAATTAGGGCTGAAAAATATTTACCACGGAAAACCAACCAACATGTTACCAACCGAACTAAAAATATTGATAACCAATATGTTTGGTAACCAACATGTTTGGTTGGTAGTACCATATCCACTACAAAATTATGGTATGGTAGTGGTACAAAGTTTTCAATACCAAGGTAGTACCATACCAACCTATTATATATATATATATATATATATATATATATATATATATATATATATATACACACACACATACATACTAGTGTGGTACCCGCACGATGCGGCGGCGGCAATTATTTTCATTTCAAAGAATGTTGATTAGTTTTCCTATGGCGAGTAGTGTATAGTTGTTTTTGACAAATATCAAATTAAAAAAGTACACCGACTAGATTAGTTTTTTTCAGCTAATTATGTGTATATGGTTCAAATTATGAGATATTTGGGCTTAAAGTATAGGGTTTAGTGTTTAAGATACTGCATTTAAAGTGTAGTGTTTAAGGTTTGTAGTTTAGGATATGGGTTATTTATTTTAGAAGTGGGTCTTTGGTAACATGGTTTTAACGTTTAGAATATGATTTGTAGTTTATTATTTGAGTTTTTGACTTTAGGATTGAGGTTTATGTTTGGATTTTGGATTTTGTATTGTACCTAGCTAACTTGGTAAGTACGAAAATACTTCGTTTTTGCATTGAATAATTTTTCAAGAATATGTTTATTCCAAATAATATACAATATCTCGAATAAAATTTGAGAAAGTACTATCATTTATTATTAATTAAATAATTTTTTTTTATCAAATTTATCCCTAAACTTTATCTTTTCTTTTTATATACATGAATAAAAATGTTGTCAATTATACATTAAACTGTTTTTTTTTGAAACTATTCGTTAGATTACAATAAACCAAATATAACATTTTTATTTTTAGCGTGAAAATTTTATTTAGTATGATGTATAACGTAAATAAACTCGTTGATGACTGTCGATTAGTTTTTACTATATTATTTCAAATATCTTATCCTTCATGACTAATATTATTTAAGGATACATCTTTCTTATAATAAAATGATTAAATTAGATATTATAATTCAGTTGTTCATGTTAATAAACAAACATTGAAATAAACCGCAATTAAAATTTTTATAAGAAACTGATATAGTTTTGGAAGAACTATCATAATTTGTTGCAAATCTAACACTTTTAAGATTTAATATACATATTGATATTTACATATTAGTTAAATGATCTTAATAGTTACTATATTATACTTATTTTAAGACATTCGAGTCTTTTTTTTTAATATAGTATGACAACATAATATATTATTATATTATGACTATACATAGAAGTAGGTTACATATTTAAACATGATTAACTGTTGCCCAAATACATTTTGAACCTTCGGCTTCATGCCATATCTATAATGCATTATATATATATATATATATATATATATATATATATATATATATATATATATATTATATATATATATATATATATATTATATATATATATATATATATATATATATATATATATATATATATATATATATATATATATATATATATATATATATATATATATATATATAGTTAGGAACAGTAAATTTCCTAACCTTTTGACAAAAATGATCCTTCATTTATTTATGGTGGTCTGTCTTCTTTTGGCTTTTTTTTTTTTCCTGTTATGGTTAATTTATGTCACTTTCTCCTTTTTTTTGGTCCATACGTGTTTGTCACGTATTTTCTTCACCGTTTTCCCACCAAATAACTTTTTGATTGCAGTTATTGTTTTGCAGTTTTGATCTATCGTTATACACGTGTTTTCCTCCACCACTACAACTTCATTCGTGTAATCCACCGCCTCAAATACAGGATACCTTTAATCCTCATCTCTACCGCCTCTAATACATCCTCCGGTTACTGCCTCTTGACCCAACAACACATGAACCACCCGGTAGTATTTTACCGGCGACGCAATTAGTATTTTCGGTGATAAGGTTGACAGTCGTCGGCAGCTTCGGTACACTATTGGAGGTTTCCCTTACCTCTTGATCATTTATCCCTTCCACTGTCAATCTTTTCCATTACTGATTCTGTAACCTTTTCACAACCACTGCCTGAAATAGTTCCCCACCTATTATCGCTTGTTATTTTCCCAATTCAAATGACTGTCTATACCATCTCTTTACCTCCACTGCCTCACATAGCTTTCTATTGCAAATCATTTATCAAGACACATATGGAAAAAATCGATTCTCTGGGACTCAAATCGATGTTCCTCTGGTAAACAGGTAAGCACTAATTTTTTTGTTTTCAGAATTGATCCAAAATCAAAGGTTGATTGGCTTCGCTCCTTTTTTTTTTTTTTTTTTTTTTTTTTTTTTTTTTTTTTTTTTTTTTTTTTTTTGCAGTTTTCTCGATCCGGAAAACAGAAAGTATTTCATAAGCCATGCCCATAAACATTTCATCAGAGTTAAGGCACAAGAGAAATGAAAAAACATATCAAGTATGTTTTGTATGCCCAATCACTCCACATTGTTTTTTAAAATTTTGCATCTTTCTCCTGCAATCTTGAATTTGTCTTCAATTTTTCATTAACTAATTTGTTGTTTGCTTTAAATAGGCTTCTAATGTGTTATGCATCCTTGCAGGAGAAATCGATTTCTTATAGTTGAAGACGAAGAACATGGCTTGGAAAAAAAGGCAACAAAATAAGCTCGAGTCGAGTTCGAGGTGAGTTTCGAGCTCGAGTATTTTAGTCAAGCCGAGCTTCGAGCTTGGTAGTATTCGGCACGACTCGGCTCGTTTACACCCCTAGGATCTTATGAGTGTGGACCCGTTATGCATGATAATACGTTTGTTGTATCGGGTATTTTGGAGGAAACTCACTACACTTTGTGCTTACCTAGTTGTTTATATTTTCAGGTTACATCGTTGATCGTAGGAAGGCAAAAACATGATTGTACACACTCATCAACAATATTTAGGATTATGCGTTTGTTATATTACTCTGATTTTTTATATGTGTAGAATAAACATTTTTTCTTAATAATGGATTTATAATTAAGTACTTTTGTCTTATTTAAAAATAACATTTTTTTGTTGTTAAAATGAGACGTTATACATAAACATTAACAACTCCACACACTTCATCAATGATTGTCCTATATAAGATATCGTGCGAAAAACCTAAAAAAATCATTCATAAGTACTGAATGAGTACAAAAGTAAAAATGATTTATTTTGAAACAAAAAAATATTAAGGATTAAATATGTATAAAAATATTAAGGACTAAATATGTACAAAATGAAAAATATATTACTCTATTAAGTTTTTTTCACAGCTAACCTAGAGTAAATGGTCATAAGAACGGAATATGTACAGTTTAACTAGTTGAAATAGTAAATATGAAGGAAAAAAAGCTCATAACCAAATGTGTATAAATCAAAAAAATATTTTACATTTTTAAGTCATTATCCGGTATAAATAAACATTGAGCTGAGGTAAAATTCATTAACCCTAATTATTTTAGTTGGGTTAATTTTAAAGATAATCAAAATCTACTCGGGTACATCATCCTTTGCGAATCTATGCCTCTCCATTGCTCGTAGCAGAGGTTGCATCTCCTTCCGGTCTAGGAAAATCGCCTATTTTGGAGTTTCTCAAATCCTGTAACTCATCTATGAGCTCGGTCAATATCCGCCAAGATGACCCACCTTCCGCCATTGCTTCCTTTGCAGCTTCACCAATCTCCTTCGCCTTTTTCCTTACTTCCTTCCCCTTTTCACCCTCCATGAACTCCTTCACCATTTTCTTTAACCCTTCTGAAGTTACAAACCCTTTCACTGATCCATCACATGTCTCAACCCGTAAACCGATCTTAATCTCCTCCACCACCATTCTTGCATTCAGAGGTTGATCAGCCATCATCGGCCACGCTAGTATCGGCACCTCTGAACATATGCTCTCCAACACTGAGTTCCAACCACAGTGGCTCACAAACCCTTTTACGCTCTCGTGCTTCAGAATCTCCAGTTGGTCAACCCATTCTCTTACAATCATCCCTCTTTCCCCCACTCTTTCTTGTAGCTCGTCATAAACACTCGTCTCACACTTCCTCACCACCCACAAGAAACTCACTTGGGATTCTTCCAAACCCTTTGATATCTCTTCCAACTGTTTCGATGATATCTCTGCTTGAGAACCGAATGCTACGTATAAAAC